AATACAAAGGTTAAGAGCGAATGCTAAAATTACATTTTCTTCCTCAAAGAAAAAGAAAGAAAAAAAAAGAAAAAGAAAAAAAAGAGTTGAGTAAAAAAGAATGAAGTCTCAAACTTATCTACGTTTTTTTATTCTTTCAAAATTTCTATTACAAGTATTTAACCAAAATAATCTGTTAAGTTATATGAGTGATAATTTTGATATTAAAAAAGGTCTTGATGAGTCCATTGTTTTAAAGTGATAGACAAGTAAGACTAACAAATCATTTTAGACATATTTTCTTTCACCATTATTTATTTAGAAAAAATACTTATAATAATATTTACAATTTTGGATAAATTATAAATATACCTTTTGAGATTTGATTAAAATACAAATCGTTCTCTGTGATTCTGGAAATTACATTCCACTACCTGAAATTTCTAATTTCATAACAAATGGTCTCTTTTATTAATAAATCATCAAGTTAATTAACAATTTTTAATGATGTTAGAAATATGTTTTAATTAATAATATAGGTAATTTTATTATGTATAGGAGAGTAATTATAAATTTCATATATTTTAATTAATTCTATTAAATAAAAAATTCTAACAAGGGGATATTTATAATTTCTTAAACCACATGAGGTAATTTGTACTTTAAGCAAACATCAGGAGATGTATTTATAATTTACCCTTAAATTTTAAAATTTTATATTAAATTCATGATGGGTGTAAGTCACATTACAGATAATCAAAATATAGAAAAATATATTCAAATTCTAACATTTTTTTCAAATATATTTTTTACAATGTAGCATTTCTAGGCATAAAAAATAAAAATAAAAATTCCTCGAATTTCTATACCTTTGTTTTAAAATATCATAGTCATTGTATCATATTCTGAGATTCTTATGACTCACGTATTTGCATCATATAACTATGAATATTTTAGAATAAAAAGTCAAAAATATTTAAGGACAAAAAGATTTTGGTCTTGACTTCTAAAACCTTTTTTTTTTTTGGCAAGGCTATGGTCTTGTTTGGTCTTCACTTAACAGCACTTTCATTACTCTTATCCCCAAGCTAGAAAATCCCATTGCCTTATCGGATTATAGATCCATTAGTCTTGTGGGTTCTATTTACAAAATCTTGGCCAAAGTTTTAGCACACAGATTGAAGTCAGTGCTCCCCTCAATCATTGGTGAAACCCAGAATGCCTTCATAGGAGGGAGATATATCCTCTTCTTTTTTTTATCAGTAAAGAAAAATATCATTAACAGCACAGATGAAGATATATCCTTGATGGGGTGTTCGTTGCTAATGAAGTGGTGGATGGATGGAAGAAGGCCAAGAAGCAAGGGCTGATCCTTAAGTTAGATTTTGAAAAAGCATTTGATTCTGTAAATTGGGAATTCTCATTCTCTATGATATTTAGCTTTGGCTTTGGAGATAAATGGATCTCTTGGATGAAAGCTTGTGTGACTACAGCAAGGATCTCCATTCTAGTAAATGGATCACCTACTGAGGAATTCTCACCCCAAAGAGGCCTTAGGCAGGGTGATCCACTCTCCCTTTTCTGTTCAACATAGTGTCTGAAGGGCTTAATATTCTTCTGGTCAGAGCACTTAACCTTGGCATTCTTAAAGGTGTGTTAGTTGGGGCCAATAATGTTCGTATTTCACATCTGCAATTCGCTGATGATTCAATTCTCTTTTGTGAAGCTAATTGGGATCAGTTGGTGTTAGTCAAAAGAGTTCTCAGATGTTTTGAAGTTCTATCTAGTCTCAAAATTAATTATCACAAGAGTGTTGTGTGTGGTATTGGTGTCACTGATGATCTTATGCTTTCCTTTGATAATCTTCTCAACTGTAAGGTACAGAGCTTTCCATTAAAATTTCTAGGACTGCTATTAGGAGCCAATCCTGGTAGGAAATCTACATGGAAGCCTGTTCTTGACAAAATCAAATCTAAACTATTAGGGTGGAAGAGAAAGCTGCTATCCTTTGCAGGTAGACTAACTTTGATCAAGTTTACCCTTTCAAGCTTACTTATTTATTTCCTTTCTTTGTTTAAAATGCCTGAAGGTGTGGCTAGAGAATTTGAAAAGATTAAGGCTACATTCTTGTGGGGTGGTAATAATCTAAAAAGGAAAGTGCATTTGATGAAATTGGTGAAGACTACAAAGAGTATTGATCAAGGGGGTTTGGGCATCAGAAGAATCTGAGATGTAAATGCTTGTTTACTACTCAAATGGTGGTGAAAATTTGGAAACCAAATCAATGCACTTTGGAGGAGAGCAATTTGCAGCAAATATAAGATTATTGAAGATTGTTGGCATCCTCCAATAAGGCCCTCTTAAAAGCATTTTAGAATGTGGAGTGACATCTTATCCATTGGGGCCTCCAGCAGTTCTATTTTCAACTTTTTCTTGGCCAACTGTCTAATTAAAGTAGGGAATGGTAATAGAATTAGATTTTGGATGGATAGATGGTGTGGTGATAATTGCCTCAAATCTGATTTTTCACTTCTTTTTAATCTCTCAACTGATAAAGAAGGCTCTCTCCACCAATTCTTTGCTAGGAAAACCAGTTCAAGTGTTTGGAACTTTCCTCATAGAAGAGAGTTGTATGGCTAGGAATTGACTAAAGAAGCTAGTTTGATTGCGGTTTTATCCTCAGTTCATCCTCTGTGTAATTAAAGTGCAGACTACCTGATATGGTCTAATAATGCTGCAGGCCATACTTAGTTCTCTGTGTCTGGTCTATATTCTCATGGTACCTCCCTTCTTGGCCCTAATCTAAGAATCTGCAAACATATTTGGAGCACTGTGTTACCCCCAAAGTCTCCTTCTTTTGCTGGCTGGCCTGAAAAAATAGAGTGAAATCTTCAGAATTCTTACATAAGATTGGCATTCTTGATAGCAGTGCTTCGACTCTCTATTCCTTCTATAATTCTGAAACTGAGTCTACTATTCATGTCTTGCTTCAATGCCCTTTCTCTTGGTTGATTTGGTCTGCAGTGATTCAAGAATAGAGGTTTCAATGGTGCATTCTAAATTCAGTAATTGGTCTGCTCAATTGGTGAATGGGTGGGAAATTTTAGAAATCTGACAGATTAATTTGGAGAGCCATCCTTTTAGTTGTTCTTCGGTATCTTTGGAAGCATAGGAATGATTGTGTATTTTTCGAGGCTCAACCCAACTTTTTTGGTCTGCTTGAACTCATCAAAATTATAATTGCCCTTTTGCTCAAAGCATTAGTTAAGGATTTCCCCTACACAGTGGATGATCTAGTCTTCAAGTGGAAACAAATCAGGGGCGCGGTTTGATCATCCAACTGGCTTTTGGTTTGTTTCTTCTTTTCTTTGGTTGATTCCTTATCAACCATGGGGAGTTCACATCTTTTGCTTAGTTTGTGTGTTTTTTTGCTACTTGCAGCTCCTCTTCTTTGTTGATTGTATCTTTTCTCTTCATTATCTTCAATTAATAAAGTTTTCTTTGCCGATCAAAAAAAAAAAAAAAAGTAAGCAAGAGGCTGATAATTAAAAAATAAAAGTCAAAATCATCCATCTCCCAACTTTTAGATAATCAATTTTTTTTTTCAATTTATTTAAGCTATTTATGTCTTATAACAACAAAAGTTACACTAAACAATTTGATACAGGCTCTCAAATAAAAATAAACTATAATCAGCATAGTTAAACTGTTACAAATAACCCCCAAAATCAACCATATATTTTACTATTGACACCCTCTTCATCCTCTCCTTCACAATCCATATTTTATTAAAAAATTTCATTTTTTTTGTGACATCTCATAGTACACATGAGTTCTACAAAATTTTAAATATAATGATAAACTTCATGTATACACATAATATTTATTGCATGAATATAGGTAAAAGTGGAGTATAAAGGTCAAGTAAATACGATAACACAATTTGTTTACTTGCATAGAAACCGACAGCCCTCTTACATAGACACAAGACTCACAAAAATATAAAATTCAACTTATATAAAATAGATCCTGAGTGAATTACTTTGATAATCCTAAAATATTTGCATTTTTTTTTGGTCTCTAACACTTTCAATTGACTTAATTTTGATATTTAATTTTATATTTGTGTAAATCTGATCATTTTTTTTGGGTCCAACTGATAAGTCATTAGGGTTTTTAACAAAAAAGTATTATTGAATTGTTTAAAATTAACTCACTGAATTGATCAAATTTATAATTTTATCCCTTAAAATATGACACATCCCGCTCATGTTCACATTTTAAAAAAAAAAGTACTAATAATTTAATTAATTAGACCAAATTAAAATAGTCATAAATTTAAAATCAAAATCGAATCAAACAAAATTAAATAAATTAAAATAACAATAATCAAAATATAAAGAGTATAAATATAATTTTCCCTTATATACCATTCCCATTAAATTTCTCTCTTCCCAAACTTTTTCAAAGTAATAAATAACATTTCTCTTTGGTCCATTTTTTGGGTAAATCATAAATACCTCTCCTGAAATTTGCTTAAAGTATAGATTATTCCTAATAATTTGAAAAATTACAAATAAACTCTTATCAAAAAAATTTATTTAATAGAATTAATTAAAAAATAAAATTCATAATTACTTTTCTATACAATAATAAAATTATATAAATTATTAATTAAAATATATTTATAATATTATTAAAAATTATTAATTAATTTCATAATTTATTCATAAAATAGACGATCTAATATGAAATTAAAAATTTCAAAAATAAAATATAATTTTCAAATCAGAGAATAATTCCTATTTTAATCAAAAATATAATTTACTTACTTTTTTTCGTCTCTCCCTTTCTCACCCTACCCCCACGTCCACAAAAGAAACACCCTCTCTCTTTCTATCTCTTCCTTCCTATAGCCCCTCAAGTGTCATTTTCTCACATATACTTCACACAAAAGGAACAACCATTCGGTTCATTTCATACCTTGTCACTTCTCTCTCCCCTCAAGTGTCATTTTCTCACATATACTTCACACAAAAGGAACAACCATTCGGTTCATTTCATGCCTTGTCAATTCTCTCTCTCTCTCTCTCTCTCTCTCTCTCAATCTCAAATCTCTGCAACTACTCCATTCAATTGATCATTAAATCCCTATCTGAAGAAAAAAAACCCAGAAATCTCTTACCTGAAAATTCAAAACCCATTTCATCAAAACTCCTCAAGAAGCCTCTTTGATCCTTGACAAAGCCTCTTACGTACTACTGTTCAAGTACACCACAAGACCAAGACCTAGAAAACAAGAATAAGAAGAAAGCGAGAGGACAAAGGAGAATAGATAAACAGTTTTAGAGGGCTTGTTTGGCTTGAGAGAAGATGGAGTTATTTCCAGCACAACCAGACCTGTCTCTGCAAATCAGCCCTCCAAACTCCAAACCCACATCAGGTTGGAGGAGGAATAGTACTAGCACTGAACAAGACATGGATTTTGGGTTCTTGAAGAGAGCTTTGGACTCTTCTTCAATGGCGGCCAAACCCGACACCGGTTTCGACCTCTCTCTCTCCAATCCCATGGCTTCTGAACCCAACTCCAACCCTTTTCACCTCCTTCAAAACAGCACCTCAAATCTCATCCACTCATTTCACCAAAACCAACTCTTTCAGAACCACCACCACCAACAACAACAACCACAACAAGGTCTGATGAGCTCAGAGCTTGATTTCTTGAGACCCATAAGAGGAATTCCAGTGTACCACCAAAACCCTCATCATCATCCATACCCATTTTCTCAAAAACCCTCATTTGATAACTCTTACACAATTGCTAGTACTAGTACTAGTAGTCCAGGTGGATTCAACTCTCAAGGGCTAATCCGATCGAGGTTTCTTTCGAGGATTCCGGCGAAACGGAGCATGAGAGCTCCTCGGATGCGGTGGACTACCACTCTCCATGCTCGGTTTGTTCATGCTGTTGAGCTCTTGGGTGGCCATGAAAGTATATTCTATTTTCCTCTAATTTTTTCCTACTCTTATGTATATACACATAAAAATACACAAGAATACACAAGAGTTAATCAATATGGATTTATAGATAAAAATGCTAACCCAATTCTTAATTTATTATTTTTTTTAATTTTTGGGGGGTTTAGGAGCAACACCCAAGTCAGTTCTTGAGCTCATGGATGTCAAAGATCTCACCTTGGCACATGTTAAATCCCATTTACAGGTAAATAGACCTTTCTTTTCTTCAGAGTTTCGAATGGGGGATTTTTATTTTTTTTTTAATTGTTTAGTACTCCGTACAAATTAAATTAAATTAAAGAAAAAATCGAATTATTTTGATTCAACTTTGATTATTGGCCTGCGATTGTACACGTCCTCTCTTGATGATGAAGTTCAAAACAGTATCTTTTTCTAGCTGAACACACTTGCATTTGTGTACAGCCTAAATTACAGGAAGGTGTTAAATACATACATTTCAAATTCCAATGTTTTCCTTGCAGAGAGGTCCCCAAATCCTTAGCACTTCTTTTTCTACTTAGATCTGATGGTTCTGCAAGCTATTATTCAGCTTTTTGCTTGGAACATTGAACCCATCTATCCATGTAAAAGAAAAGATCAACCTCAAGAAAGAGAGAGAAAGAGAGAGAGAGTCATTTATCATGAATATCAGAAAATCAAGTAAGACAAAGCCCAAGGAATTCAAAACAGTCATAGCCAAGCCTAGACAACTTTACACTGATGAGTCCATAATTTTTAATTTTTTTTTTCTTTTAAAGAATAGCAACACTACTACTTTTTCTTCTCTTACAGTGGAGAAGTAGCAAATAACAAGTACAGAAAAGTTATCATTTCTCAATGATGTCTGTATGTCTTGGGTTTGTTAACCACACTTCCATAACCATGGTTAATTTGGACTCTGTACATGCATATGCACATATACATACGAATATAAGCACAAACACAAAAAATTTACCATCATTTACTTTGTGTACTTGCACTGTTTCAGACTATGTCTGTTGTACAGAGATGGGTAGGGTACATTAGCATCTTTATTTAATTTATTTATTTTTTGTTTTTGTTTTTCTCAAAAATATTACCATTATATAGCAGTGACTGTGTGTAATATGCATTAATATTATCCTAATTTTGGATTTTACTTTTATATTATTGCAGATGTACAGGACAGTGAAAACCACTGATAGAGCTGCAGCTTCTTCAGGTTAATTATATGTTTATTGTTGATTTATAATTGATATTAAAAATTATTTTTTTAAAATTTATATGTTGATATTGGGTATTGTGTTGTGTTCACATATAGGACAATCAGAAGTATATGAAAATGGCTCATCTGGAGATGGAGATACTTCTGAGGATATGATGTTTGAGATTCAGAATCCTAGAAAATCGGAAATATCAATTCAACAGGGAAGACCAAATTTGCATGAAGATAAGGATTATCATGGCCTTTGGAGCAACTCTTCAAGGTAAATCTACAATACTAATTTGCATATTATATAGTCTTTTTTCACTTAATAATGTATTTCATTTTCGAGGCCTAATGTGAAAATTTGCATTTCTTATACATCTATGAATTTTTACTCTGGAAATTATCCCAAAAGTGACATGTATGGTGCAAATTTAAAAGTAATGAAGTAATTTTTTGAATACTTATTCTGGGTACGTAGTATTTTTAAGCAGCTTATATGACACTAAGTAGTCTCATTAAACAATGTAGTTAGCGTTATGCAAACGACACATCAGATAATATCTAAATGTGGTCAGCCCAGCGGTGTGATCTTTCGTTCTTTTATATGATTTTCACTTTTCGTTGGACTCCAAGAACAACAAACAAAATACAAGAATATGTTTTGGGAACTCAAAAACCATCATTCCAAGCCCACATAGTACAATTTTATGTTTTCTTGTGGTTGATCAACCCCATAAGTGTAATTTATTATTATTATTTATGTACTGTATCTTGTTTTGTCAGTGTTTTTTTCTCTTTCTTTCTTTTTTCTTGTTGTGCAAAATTTAAAGTTATGACTTTGTCCTTTGTTTGTCATTGTTAGGAGTAACAAAGATGAGCACACTAGAGATTAGAAACTTTAGCAGCTGTTATTTAAGTTGTGCAGTCCTAGACTCCTAGTTAGACTTTAATTCAATTCTTGCTGCAAACTTGTGTTTAAAACATAGCATGAAAAGAAGAGATATACATAAATATATACATAGAAAAAAGTAAAGAACTTTCATCTATCCTTTTCATTGTTCTATTACTATAAATTCTTTTCACCTCTTGTCATCTTGCTTTATAGCAGATTTTACTTTTGAAAGGAAAAATAGAAGGAACATTTTAGCATGTTGACTCGCGTCCAACAAATAATAACTAATTTAATAAAAGCAGAACAATAATGTTATACAAATTAATAAATATTTTTTTAAAAAAATAGTCACATAAGTTGTCCCTAGGATTCTGTTTTAAATACACAAGTTCTCAAGTTTGTGAATAATTTTTTTTATAAAATCTGCTAGTTAGTGTAAATTTTTTCAAAACAAGAATATCATAAATTCTTAAATAATGATATATAAATAGAAAATATATTTTTAAAAAAATACATACAGAATGATATAATAGAATTGTGAACACATTATTTTAAAACAAAAATCCATCAAGATATACTGCTTAATCTTAAAATTGCCACCGGCATATTCTTTATAAAAATAAAAATAAAAATAAAAAATTGGATGGAATAACATTTTCTTAGATTATTTTATCTGGTTATGCATAAGACAAAATCTCCCTAGATACAAACACACACACACACACATATATATATATACATAAACATAAATACATGCAAGAGATCATAAAAGAAGTAAGAAATGATACCACTGCTTTGTTCCGTCTGTCCACAACCAGTTTTAACACAAACTCCATCATGGGGTAATAATCTATTCTTTTCTGGTGGTTCTGAAAAGGAAGCAGTAAAGAAAGAAACACACTCTCCTACTACTCCATCATGTGAGTGAGAGTTCATTTCATAATCAACCGTGGACATCTCTTTCCTTTGGATTTTGTGGGCTCACATTATGCTTATTTAAGTGGTTCCCACAACTAGGAATACTTAGTGTCAAAGCTAAGCCTCACCATGTACCCCTTTTGAAGATATATATTGTTGCCCAAGCTATATGCCCTTTGAAATTTTTTTCATATGCTTTCTTATAGAAATCTAATGTATCTAGAAAACATTTTTTTTTTTAAATACTCAAAATTTAAATTTATGGTGTAAATTTAAACTCAATGTGGTATGACTACTCAGATGATACTTATCACCTAGTTATTTTGACTTGGTTTATTAGTTTCACATCCTTCAATATATTGGGTTATTTCGGTATTTTGGAGTTTATGATGAGTTTGTGAGTTTTAGACAAAGGCTTGAGAGAGAGTCAGTTGATTGTAATCTCTATATTCACAGTGAACTCCTTCGCAATTCTTAGCCTATGAACGTAAACATATTGCCAAATCATGTAAATTCTTGTATTTCTTTTGTTTTAACTTTTTCTCATTTTCACTTTTGTCATAACATATTTTAAATTTTGAACACGTACTAAATTTTTTTTCTGAATATGTAAAATTCCTAATTTTGTTATGAGCGAGGGTAATGGGCTATCACATGGGGTGGTTTCTACTTCATTTCATGTAAAGTGAGGTATAAACAAGACAATGAAAGATAGCCCCTCCTTTTCTTTTTTCCTCAGATTGCTTTTTCTCATTCTGCATGCATGGCTTCCACTGATAGAAAATATTCTCTCAATACTACAGTTTTTTTGCTTCTAGCAGGGAAGCTTGGTTGAATGGCAAACCAAGGGATTGTGGAGGAAATATACCATCTCTTGAGGTACCAATCTCAACATTGACCCCATTTCCCCAAAATACCCTTCTCTTTAAAAATTCCATATGTCATTTACACACTTTCTTTTTATCTACTTTGTGTCTTGTAAAGCAGAAAGAAAAGCAAAGGCATTTTGGAAAAAGATGTGTTAGTCATTTGCAAATTCAAGGGTCAATTTTGTCAATGAAACAAAAAGCAAATACTTTTCAAAGAAATCAATTCTTTTTTGTTTTTTAAATAAAATTTAAACAGTTCTAGTCAGTGGATGCAATGTATCTATAGTGGACTATCATCTATCACCTACTTTTTTTTTTGGGGGGGGATCATATATCATCTATCAACTACTACAACCTTAATACCTCGTACTCAACCCACTTGACTAATCAGGTGAATTTTTATTGAAGATAGTGTATCACAGCAAATATTTGAAAAAATGTGTATGGCAAAGTCTATGAACCATGGAAAAGTAACTATAATATGTTTTTGATTTTGAAATAGAGGGTTATTTGTGGGGCCACTTCATGAATGAATAATGGCCTTAGATTACAAATTCTAGATAGTATTCCTTTTTTTCTGAGTTTGTAGACCTGTTGTGTATGCATACTTATAAAAGTGTTGACTATATGAAATATGTAAATCAGATTTATCATATAAAGTTTAAATCTTTACTATATACTTCAAATTCTAAACACGGTTCTGGATTTTTTTTCCTGAGTATTTAGCTTAGAGTTATGAAATTAGGGAAGAATATTTGTAAGGGTACTGCACATGAGATGAGACACACTGCAACAACCTTTACATTGAACCCTAGCACCCTTATTCCCTTACTACTATCTTATTCCCTGAGTCAAAATGTCCTTTGATTCTCACTTTCCTTCAACACACTTCTCTCATGCTCTACTACTATTATTAATTTATTGCTCTCTCTCTCTCTCTCTCTCTCTCTCTCTCACATTTTTGACAGAAGGACATGGATCCAAAGTGCTTAAACTCATCAAACCTTTCAGAGACAAGCCCCAAGAAGCCTAATCTGGAGTTCACATTGGGGACACCACAGTGACATATATATCTCTCTATTGGGTTACTGATTTTGAAATCATTATATCTCTGTTGGGGGGGAAGGGGGGGGGGCTGGCTGTTGAAGAGAATCAGGTACCCACTGGGAAAATCATAGAGAAAAGAAAGGGAAAGAAAAGAAAAGAAAAGAAAAAGAAAAGGAAAAGAGAGCTAAAGAAAGACAAGGAGACAAGAAAGACAGAAAGCAACAAAAGGAAGAAGGGTGGAAAAAAGCAAGTCCTTCCTATCAGCCTTTGTGATGAGATCCATATCAACATATATTATATTCCTACGTAAATATGAAAATCTAATTGATTTTGTATGTTTTGTGCACTTGGAGAGAGAGAGAGAGAGGGAGGACCCTTTGGTAATTGTAATCAAGCCCTTTACATTTAACAAAAGAGAGAGTTGGAGCTCTCTATTCATTAATCCTAGGCATTGTTACATTCTTTACACTTTCCCAAGGGACGAAAAAGAAGAAAAAGATAAAAAGGGAATAGGAAAGAACTGAAAAATTAATACGTAGGAGGGAAAGAAAGAAAGAAAATTCGAGGAAAAGAGAGAGAGAGAGAGAGAGAGAGAACGCCAATTCAAGTTATTTCCAATTATATTAATGAAATAGTAATACATCCGACCATGATTACCCCTTTTTGACTTGAAAAGTGGACCTGCAATCATGTGATTTTTATTTGGAAAAAGCTATTTACCTCGAAAAATGCATTTAAAAATATAAAATATATAATGTCCATTTAAATTTAATGTGATCTGCATTTGATTTTTAGAATATTTTCGTGCAGTGTAGTGTGTGGTATTGTTGTTTTTATTTTCAACCAACAACCTCTTTTGGAAGTAACCATCTTTCAATTATATGGATAGAAAAAATGTTGTATAACATTATACAAATGAGATCCATATTTATCTATTAATGTAGGTTCAACTGTCTAGTGTCTAGTTGGCAAGAGATGTGAGATATGGGTATGTGTAGCACAACTCAAAATAATTCTATTTACTTTGTTTAGTTTGAGTTTTTTAGATTAAGTTTTTTGAAAATTAAATTTTTTAGTTTTCTTGTTTTTTTTTAGTAAATATTTTTATATTTTTAAAATTTTAAATATTTTTTTTTACTTTTTTAGATGCACCTTACTTAAATGTATCTAAAAAGTAAAAAATTTGTGAAAAAATATTTTAAAAAATTAATAAATATATAAAAATACAAAAAATGTACTAAATTATCGTATTTTTTTTTATATATTTTTGGTATTTAGTGAATTTTTAAAAGGTTTTTTTCACAATTTTTTTACTTTTTAAGTATATTTATGTTAGGCATGTCTAAAAAGTTAAAAAAAAATTGCTTAAAATATTAAAAAAAGTCAATAAAGACAAAAAATATGAAAGTAGAATTTTCTGAAAAGTATTTTTGGAAAGGAGGAACCAAGCAAAGTCATTAGCTTTATTTTATTTTTTTTATCAGCGAAAGAGAAAACTTTGCTGATAAAATCTAGTTGAATAAACAAGATACATCAATAAAGAGGGCGAAAAAAAAAACTTTATTGATGAAATCTAATTGAATAAACAAGATAAATCAATTAAGAGGGCTATTGCCAAAAGTATTGAAGCAATACTAAATGAACTCAATTAAATTGACAACAAACATAAATACAATCATTTGCTAGTACTAAACCAAACACAATGCTAATTCTATTAGCTTTATGTGTTATTATACTTCTTAAGAAATTGCATATCGTGGGTACACGGGTCCAACCTCACCATGTGGCATCACTATGTCACCGCGAGGGCTCTAAACAAGCTTACCTGGCTTCGAGCCAACAATGGTGAAACACTCCTTGAGTACCCCCAAGTCGCCCAGGGATCCTCTTCGTCGAACAATGTCTTAACTTAAAGATGGAAGTACACTTGTGCTACTAGAAGCATCGCCTAGGTACCTTATTCAAGATCACTTGAGAACTTATGGAATTGGAGGCCAAAGTTCAAGGGTTCATCTAAGTGCTTCACCACATCATCCACGAGGTGAAACACTCTCAGACCAGTCTTTGATAGAGAGTAGACTTGATCTAGATGTGTAATACATGAAAAGTTAGATTATACCTAAATCTGAGTTGCCTTTAACACCCCAGAAGCGACAAATTGTATCTACTCACTACGCACTAACGCTTGTAAAATAGAATTAACCAAAATTCTTGTTTATTTTGTCTAGCCACGGGGGTATGGGTTGATCAAATTGTCCTAAGTTGAGTTGGCCCCTATGACTCGACCATCCTATATAAATGAGCCTTATGCAATAGACACTACATCACCACTATGGGGAGGTGGTTTTGGAATACTCTTTCAATCCAAACGAGTCCTTGTAAAATCTTCTCAGCTGTCACCTGAAATAGAAGTAAAACTCCGGTCAATGGTGCCAAAATTAGCACTCCGACAAGTAAGTTAACTTCTACCGAAAGATTAGTGTTTTTGGTTTCTTAAGGTATAAGTTTTTTTAGAACATACGTCTTCCTTTAGCCTCCCTTCTCCTTTTATAGAGTCATTCTCGTTGATATTTTCTCTATGTAGCTTAACCTTTCATCATCACTCTGTCAGGGCCATCCCCCTAGTACACTTTTTAGAAAGTGACAGCTTGGTCCCACTTAATGAGACTATGCCAACTTACCTGATATACTCGATTCTAATGTACGACACAAGTACCCTTAACTCAACGTTCTCCTCATTATGTCTTTTGTATCTATTCGACAATGACTTTCAGTCCAGTGGGCTTTGGTTTCAGTCAGCCTATCTTGCATAGGCTTGGATGTACTCTATTTGCCGTTTTAGGTATATCTTTTTTCGGCTTCCACAATTGCACCATGAGCACAGAGTTAACTTATATGTCGAGTGGGCTACGTACTCGGCTCCTGCTGAGCCGACTTCATACAGATGAAACTAATTATACTTCATGCCTAGAAATTTAGGCACGTAATGAATACGCTATCGCACCTGACATGATATATGGGACCTAATGGGGAATATGTAAAGCTTCTTGCCTATTCGCTCTCTCTTGGCTTTTCATTTATTGTGATTTTGAAAATCCGCCGCCTCTTCCCCTTCACTTCCGAAAATACTTCATTCCTCCACCCCTTTAGTTTCTACCACTTGATTGCAACTGTAGCAGCCTTCATTTGTTCAGAGACTCCACGTTTTGATCTTATAAGTCTTCTAAACCCCAAATTTTTATCTTAATTTTGCTTTTATTAGATTTCCGACTTTGCTCCACCTCTGGTCCACCTTTTTGCCTCCAATTTGTCTATCATTCAACATCTCTATAGCAAACAACTTGACAGCCTTGCTCTCTAAGAGCAAAGTCACCACTTTTCGTCGCCATTATTCTATTTTCGACGACATTCGAATAAATCTTGTTGCAGATACAGTGGTGGACATGGAGAGAACATATACTGTTTTTGTTGTTAGTTATTGTCGAAGGTGGAGTACGATTTCCCCTCCACCCTTTTCTTCGAACTATTCTTCGTTATTGGGGGTTAATTCCCTCGTAGCCGAATGTAAAATTTTACCGAATAATCCTGGGCATCGTAGCCCTCAACCGCCGATTATGAATTAATCTAGGCATCCCTACTATTGGACACTACTAGGCCCTTGCCAAATCATCTAGTCGGCTAGGACAATTATTTCTTAGGGCCAAGGACATGGATCACCAACTGGTGACCATGCTTACCAGCTCAGGAAAAAGGATGAATGATGTCATGGTCCTAGTGAGTGGAAATTGGGAATTTAGCGCGGAAGAAGACCGTTCAAGCCCAATTCCTAGGCAAAACGGGAAACCAGGTGACCGAGTAATTCATAAGTCATTTTTAATTCTATTCAGCGCTCAATGTATTAACAACTTTCTTCCTTGCAGGTAACGATCTTAAAAAGGCGGTCACCTCAGAAGACGAAGCCATTCTAACCCAAGTCAAGACTACTCTAGAGTACACCGACGTAGAGAATCTCGAAGGGCAAGGCTGTGCTGCCCATATTCTTCTGAAATACAATCCGTCTTACTCCACTTTTGAGGCTGCCAATCATATTCCTATTCTTGAAGGAGAGCAACAATTTACTATTTTGGCTTTTGAAAGTTACGTTAACCTGAGGGACGTAGGAATCATTAAAGTAGCGGATAGTGAGAGCAGCGAATAGAGCACCAAAGAAGCCAATCAAGCTGCCGAACAAGTAAATCAAGGCACCAATAACGAAGATGTCGAACAAGCGCAGTAGGGCATCAATTCAGCTATCGATATTGCCGAAAGCGAAGAATCCAACCAACGGGATTCGGAATTAGGGTTGTTTCATACTCGAGCTAATTTGGAAGGCGCTCAAGAAGAGGACAATACATTTCTTGACTTGGACGATTTGCCTGGATCTGGAGCCGAAGACATGGCAAGTGAGTCTCTTTCGCTCGCCCAATTCACCAAGAGGAGAAACATCGAAAAGATGTCAGTGAAAAGGAAAACAGGTGCCGCAAGAGGTAGCCAAGAAGTCCCCCCGCCAGTGGTGACCCATTTGGAAGAGGTCACTGTTCACTATGTCCCTATAGAATCAACACAACCAGTTCTCGAACTTGTAACCAAAAAAAACGGTGGCCGAGCAAAGGGATGAGAAGCGTCCCGCCGAGTCCATTCAGACGGTCAAGCAACTGATTAAGAAAAAACCAAGAGCTTCACCTGCCTTGGACTTGGCGACGTCGTTTACTATTCAGCCAAAGATAAAGGGATTGCTCGTCCCAGCGGGCACTTCAACAGTGAAGGAGTCTGGCGTTGCATCGAGTGTTGCTACTGTCATCACTCTTCATTTGGACAAGGCCGCATTACGTGTCGAGCCAAACATTGTTTTAATCGTCATGGTCACGCAATTGACTATTTTGGTGAGTTAATTTCAACAAATGTATAATTTGATAAAACCTCATTGTTTTCTCAATATAAATATATATATATATATATTTGTTTTTGTTTTGCAGGTAGCTGAGCGGATTGTTGAAATTGACCGTTGCCATCATGATGCTATCGAGTTAATCAATTAGCTCAAAGTAGAAGTGGCGACTGAGCAAGGTAGTGCAAAGTTAGTAGCTGCCAAATTGGCCATAACAATGCAGATAGCTGAAACTGAAGCGAAGAGGGTTGAAGAAAAACGTACAAGGGCTGCCGCCGAAGAAAAAAAAGACAAAACATGTCAACCTACTTCATCATGTTGCCGAAGAAAAGGCAAGTAAATCTGATGCCGCTTTGAAAATGACGAAAAAAGACCTGGAGAAGCTCAGGCTAAGCTGTCGAAAGTGAAAAAAGCAACAAAAGAGGCGTAGTCAATGGCGTTTAAGGCCTTTGAAGAGGGAGAGATGTTGCCTATGGAAAAGTATGTCAACTAGGCCCTGAAATTTGAGAACTGCG